GCAACAGAATGGAATGGCGGAGCGCATGAACCGTACTTTGCTTGAGAAAGTCCGGTGTATGTTGTCTAATGCTGGATTAGGCAAGGCATTTTGGGCTGAGGCACTCACTTATGCAAGCCATCTCATTAATCGATTGCCAGCCGCTGCGAATAAGGGCAAAACGCCCATGGAGGTATGGTCTGGTAAACCTTGTACTGATTACAAGTTTTTACACATATTTGGTTGTCCTGCTTACTATTATGTCAGAGAAAGCAAGTTGGATCCAAGAGCAAAGAAAGCTTTATTTATGGGCTTTAGCATTGGCGTGAAGGGATACCGACTCTAGTGTCCAGATGAGAAGAAATTTGTTGTAAGCAAAGATGTGACTTTTGATGAGGCTGCTATGGTTAATCGGAACAAGCATGAAGGTAAAACTGAAGCGACCGAGACCATGAGTAGCTCAAAGCAGGTGGAGTTACTGAAGACTCCAGTTGTTCCAGTAAGGTCTGATGTTACAACCACTAGTCCTACAGTTAATTCTAATGATGAGGACGAGGATGATGAATAGGAAGCACTTACCTAAGAGCCTCCACAGCAACAAGACTATATTGCAACCAGAAGATCGAGAAGGGAAATTCGAAAGCCTGCTCGATTTACTGATATTGTGGCATATGCACTTCCTGTTATTGAAGATGATATTCCATCCGCTTACAAAGAAGCTGTCATGAGTTCAGAGTGCGAGTTGTGGAAGAAATCTATGGATGAGGAGATGAAATCTCTTCATAAAAATGAGACTTGGAATCTGGTTCAGTTACCAAAGGGGAAGAAAGCAATTGGTTGTAAATGGGTGTATGCCAAAAAGATGGAATCTTTGGGAAAAGACAATGTAAGATTCAAAGCCAGATTGGTAGCTAAAGGCTACGCTCAGAAGGAAGGCATTGACTACAATGAGGTATTTTCTCCTGTAGTAAAACATTCTTCTATTCGTATTTTGTTGGCTTTGGTTGTGCAGTTTGACCTTGAGTTGGCCCAACTTGATGTCAAGACTGCGTTCTTACATGGTGATTTGGAGGAAGAGATTTATATGTCTCAACCAGAAGGTTTTAAGATTGCTGGAAAGGAAAATTGGGTTTGCAAATTGGAAAAAAATCATTGTATGGCTTGAAGCAGTCTCCAAGAAAATGGTACAAACGATTTGATCGATTTATGATCGGGCAAAAGTACACAAGAAGTCATTATGACCATTGTGTATACTTTCGCAAACTACAAGATGGAACCTTCATTTATCTGCTTTTATATGTTGATGATATGCTTATAGCATGTAAGAGCAAAGTGGAGATTGAAAGGTTGAAGACTCAACTAAGTAATGAATTTGAGATGAAGGACTTGGGAGAAGCTCGGAAGATACTAGGTATGGAAATTGAAAGAGATAGAGCGAAGGGCAAGATTAGTCTGTGTCAGAAGCAATATTTGAAGAAGGTACTACAACGTTTCAGGATGAATGAAAATTCAAAACCGGTTAGTACACCTCTTGCCTCTCATTTCAAACTTAGCGCTTCTATGTCTCCTAAAACTGTTGAAGAGAGTCATTACATGGCTCAAATTCCTTATGCAAATGTTGTTGGTAGTTTGATGTATGCTATGGTGTGTACTAGGCCTGATATTTCACAAGCTGTTAGTATTGTCAGTAGATATATGCATAATCCAGGAAAAAGGCATTGGCAAGCTGTGAAATGGATTCTACGGTATATTCTGGGTATTGTGGATGTTGGTTTATTGTTCCAGCAGGATAAAGTTACTGGTCAATGTGTTGTTGGATATGTGGATTCTGATTACGCAGGTGATTTGAACAAGCGTAGGTCCACTACTGGTTTTGTATTCACTATTGCTGGAGGTCCAGTAAGTTGGAGGTCGATTCTGCAATCTACAGTTGCTTTGTCGACTACTGAGGCAGAATACATGGCTGTGACAGAAGCTATAAAGGAAGCCATCTGGCTTCAAGGGTTGCTTGATGACTTAGGGGTTCAACAAGACCATGTGGATGTTCATTGCGACAGTCAGAGTGCTATTCATTTGGCAAAGAATCAAGTTCATCATGCACGTATGAAATACATTGACGTGAGGTTCCATTTTGTTCGTGAGGTTATTGTCGAGGGAGATATTCTTCTTCAGAAGATTGGGACCGCTGACAATCCTGCGGATATGTTAACAAAACCAGTTTCATTGCACAAGTTTAAGCACTGCTTAGACTTGATTGTCATTTGTAAAATTTGTTGATTGCCCCATGAGGGATTGGGAGACGACTATTAGGAGTTCTACTTAGAGGGTTTGAGCCAAGGTGGAGATTGTTGATTATTGACTCAAACATATAGTCAAAGTTCAATTCTTTGGGCTACTTTGTGGTAATGGGAGACAAACTATAATTGTGCCTAACTCTTTGTGCCCAACTCTTTTGACTTGATGGTAGGCCTTTCGCCATTGATGTCTTTGAGAAGCTTTTCTTTGGCTATAAAAGGGGAGCAAGGTGCAGCCCATAAGCATTGAGAGGTGAACAACAAGGAAGAGAGAAAAATAGCAAGAAGCCATTCGGCATAGAGAAGAATTTTCTCAAATTGTCTTGCTTTGTATTTTTGGTTTTCTCTTCCTATTGTAAGTGTGAGAGCTTGGGTTATTCGGGTCTTTGGGAAATTGAGTGATAAACACTATTGTATGTTCTCATTGATTATAGTGGAATACTCCGTCGTCTCCAAACTGGATGTAGGCATTGCCGAACCAGTATAAATCTTGGTGTTCTTGTTGATGTTGGTTTTATTCTGTTCTGTTTTACTTATTCACTTACAGTTGGATGCCGCTTCCGCACAACAGTGAGCAGTTCCAGAGGCCCTAGAGGACAGTCCCAGCTAGAGAAAGACTTCATTGATGACCATATTTAGTAGTCATAACAGTAATCACATCCGGCGTCGAGGTACATTCCAGCAGCTCTGACATATTCTTATTGAGTATGGTATTTACTCAACTTATTCATATATAAGACTTGTATTTGGGTAATTACGCTTAGAATTCTTTCTCATGCATGTAGTAGAGGTCTGAGACCTATTATGTGAGGCCCTTGGGGGATGTGTTGGAATAAATATGGTAATTTGCAGGTGTTTTAATTTGGGCTTATCCCTATTTTACTAACATTCTGTCAAATTTTCGGTAGGTTTTTTAATAGTTGATAACTTTCATTATGACTTCATGCATATCATTGTTTCGTCACCCATATAGGTGATGGCTAGCACACTTCGGTTTTGGTGTCCACTGGACATCGAGGTCGGGATGTGTCACGACTAGTGTAGTAGTTAGGGTTAGTGTAAAACATAAATAGGGTTAGTTGTTCGGTTCAGTCCACTGTCCTAACTTTCGAACTTTAAACCAAACCAATATAATTTGATTCGGTTTGGTCTCTAATTTTATTCGTTTTTTTCTCGGTTCAGTATGTTTTATGCTTCTTATCATTTCATACCACTGAAATATATAGTTTACCTTTATTATTCAAACTAAGTTATCCGAACTCATGTTCCTTTTTTTTTGGCCTGAAAAGATTTTTTTTGGGGGGGGTGGGGTGGGGTGGAAAACAAATACAAAAAAGCTCAGCCCAATTAAATAAACTAAAACGGGAATCCAAATCCCTAATTTTCGACTGCAAAAAGTAGCGTCCATCGTCGTCACTGCCACGAAAGTCTTGCCAGCAACAACCTAGATAAAACGACTGAGTGGTGAAAACAAACAAGACATTGCCACACAAAAGTACCAAACGTGCAACCAGAAGCACACCACATCCAGATTTTTTCACCAAAGACGCAGAACCAAAAGATAGTCACTAGATCCAAATCTCATTCATGAATCATAGTAAATATATACAAACACAATAACACATGGATATAAGGTGGGGCTAATGGGGTATGTAAAAATACCCTTACTTTGGCTGAAGCCACAGTACACCTGGCCTCGATGGAAATCCGGCAAGCCGTTTTCGGGGAAAGAGGGAAGGGGGATAGTGAGGGAGGGAAATAAAGTTGGCAACCATATTCGGCCTAAAGTTTGCAGATCAAAGCAAATGATGGGGTGGGGATGGTTTATAGGGAAGGGAGGCAGAGAGGAAAAGTGAGGGGAGATGGAGTTTTGGGTTTGGAAAAGAACAGCCAGAGGAGAGGGAGGGGTGGAGAAGAGGGACATGAAGTTCAAAAGTGAGACAAACTCACGGGAAAATTTGAGACAAAACTCAAGGAAACTGAGAAAAATCTCAGGAGAAAAATGAAAAAAAAAAGAGAAAAGAGGATCAGGCGAAAGAAGAAAAAAGAAGAACAAGGAACTTGGACAAGGATAGCCACTGACACAAAAGTCAAAGGCTGAAACCGACGGCAAAAGAGTTTGCAAGGTTGAGAAACCAGAGAAAGCGAGAGTCTCACGCGTTTTGTCTTTACTCTTGTCCGATTTTGAATTTCCTTGCAAAGCACTTTGCTGGTTTATAATGCTTTCCAATTACAGCTAATATTGACTTGACTTTGCAAATGTTTGAAACTTGTCCCTACGCCGAGTTGACCCACCAAGTAAATCGATTTCTTTTCAGAGGTTGGAAACTTGTCCTTAGGTAAACTTGAACCCCCCAACCAAATTGATTTCTGCGTCCTTGAAACGGTGCTGCCAGCTTGACTTGGTGACATTGTTGGGATGAGGAGTCAACTTGATATCCTTTCCAACACAAACTTCTCTGTTTCTTTGATAACTTTTGGCCTCTGTTGGAATATTAATTCTAATGTAGCTTGTACATCGGGGAGATTAAGCCTAACTCTCCACAATACTAAATAAATTATGATCTTCAGTGGTGGCTGTTGTTAGACAGGGCATCACACAAGAAGATTTTTATTTTTTCAAACAGAATTGATAAGAGATTTACATGTAGTATTTCATGTTTTTTTATAGAATGATTACATTAGTGGATTAAATAGTTAGTTATTACGGGAAACAGAAATTAATATAGTTCAAATTCACATAATAGTACATAGACAAATTTACATAAAGTACTACATACCTCTTTGGCTAAAGTTCATGGACACGTATAATTCTTCGTACTTGTCACTTGAAAAACAATCTCACTTATTTGGATAATATTATAATACTTGTTTAGTACATTTTTTTGTTGTTACAATGGCGAGAATGAAAATTGACATATTTGAAGCTAGTATGCGTGAATTAGCCATGTCTGTGTAACTGTGTTTATGAATATTTCTCAGCAATATCTTGGAGATGGAAGAACAACTCCACGGGTTTTGATAGCATAACCATGTGATCGGAACCGTTTATCACTTTCACTTCATTTGGCGGATTGTTTTTTATCATGTAATTTTGCACATCCAATACTATCGCATGGTCTTGGCCGGACACAATGAATACTCTAGGAACTGCTCTATATTTCTCTTCCGTGAGCTTAATTACATCGTAATTGTAGCGAGGAATAAATCTCACCAACGATAACGCTAAGGTTAAATCCTGCACATTATATAAATCACCAACCAATAGGGTTAAGAGAGCACGGATAGGGTTCCTATCTATTGCAGCGGACACACTTTAAGTTTACGACTTACCTGTGGTGGTGAGAGCTGGTACAAGCTTGTCGCCATGACCTTAGGCCCAAAGAGAAAGGAGGTTGCAGGGTTGTTGGTCCCGTTATCATATCTGAATTGAGAGTCCAGATAATCTAATCTTTTCCTAATCTATACATTTTCAGAAAAGTATTTGTTAGTTACCTTTATAAATCTCATTCAGTAGGATTCGGATAACAATGAACAAGAGATCTCTAAAATAAGTTTATTGAAGGGATCTATTGTAGGGCCTAATTCCCAATATATTTCAACGATCAAATTGTCTATCTTTAAGGTCAAATCTCAAAATTTATCTTAAAAAAAATCACTCAAATCTAAAATTATATTTCAATGATCAAATTGTCTATCTTTCATTAAAGAATTGTATTCGTTTATTTTACTCACCATAATTTGATTGACGTCTTAATGGTTTTGATTTTATTTAATTTTTTTTAAGAATGATATATGAATTATGAACTAAAATATAGACGATTTGGATTATTGAAAAAAAATTATATAATGGAGAACACAAAGTGTCTCTCATATAAGTTTCTTGAGGGAACCCTCAACAGAGATAGATATAGTTATGCCATACTTATTCATCACATTTCCTGATTCACAAGATACGATAAACAAGGTATAGCATATAATCAATTTCAACTCATAGTAGTAAAGCACTACAAAGAAGACAAATAGTGCAACTCAATCTATGTGTGTATGAAATTCATTACCTCTTGATTTATAGTTGAGAAATTGAGAGTAGGACCGGACATGACCCCTGTGACATATACTGCAGCAGCAATTTTACGAGGGAACCTCTCCATGAAAATAGATATGACGGCTCCACCAAAGCTGTGAGCCACAAGGATAACCTTTTCATTTGGTGGTAGAGACACCATGAGCTTTGTCAAAGGCTCGACGTATTCCGATAACGAAGGGAGTTGCTGTACCTGGATCGGGTTGATCCCGGATGCACCCAAGTCTAGAGCCGTGACATTGTGACCTGAGTTCTTCAGAAGAGTCGCCACCTTATACCAGCTCCATGCTCCATGACAAGCTCCATGTATCAACACAAAATGTTTTGGACTTTGAGTTTGGTTGTGTATGTTGGAGGGTGGGGATGGGGCTGAGGTGCTACCTTTTGCTAAGCAAATAAATAAAAGGAATAACGCAAGGAGCTTCTCTGTCATGTTCTCCATTTTCTGTATCACTAATGCTCAATTTCCTTGATTTGGTTTGCATCTCTCATCTTACTTTTATATGTAGAATTCGATCAGAGAACAAATAATTGACTCAAAAGTCAAAAATCTCGATTAAACTACTAGTAATAGACTCAAAAGTCAAAAGCATTAAGTTGAAAAGTATTTTTTTTTTCTTTTTCTTTTTCTTTTTTTGTGTCAAAGTTGAAATGTATTCCCAACTCCAATTTGCAAGAAGACTCTTTCAGGAATCCAACTTTTCTCCCGAAACTACCCATCTACCTTCAGCACTCCCTCGCCCTTCGTATCTGTTTCTCTTTGACCAGTTTGCTGACTCGCTTGCACATCGTCCAGCGGCGTTGACTGGCCTCAAGTTGCAGTGTTCGGGATGACTTTTTCGAGGATGAGTTTCGAAGCCGGAGTTGTTGAAGAATGGGTTGTTGTTGGCCAATACCGGATCTGAAACCCATTTGGTGCGACATCTGACATTAGAACGACACTCCGGCATCTGGAATTGAAGCTGCGTGGTGGTGGATCTACTGCTATGGTGGTTATGGGGTGTATGGCGGTGGCTGTGTGGTTGGAGAGAGAGAGAGAGAGAGAGGCGGTGCAGGTTTCACAAGAATGAAAATACAAATTTGGGGATGGGGAAGAATGAAAAAAGGAAAGGGGGATGGGGAAAATTAATAATAAATCGTATGAAAAAAAATATTAAATCTTTCTCACTAGGAAATACATCATTTTCGGATCCCTTTTACTAAATACATTAATTCAGATCCTTGAAATTTGATCTATAATAACTTTAGTTGTTGAACCAAATTTCAAGAACCCTAATTGGTGGAGTTAGTGGATTTAGTGGAAATGATCCAAAGATGATCATTTTCCTTCTCACAAAGCTTTAAAAAATATAAAAGAACTAAGTTAGTAAATTATACTAAAAATACAAAAAGATAAATCACTTGGATTAGGGGTATTTAATAATTCGATTAGTTTTCATTTCAATTCATGTGTTTTAGTAAAAAACTTATATAGATAAATACGATTTCTACTTCAATTCTAAAAAAATTTAGTAAATAGATTATGTAAGATCTCACATCGCCTAGGGGAGTGGATCATGTAAGCCTTTATGTATATTCTCATCTCTACTTAGCACGAGGCCTTTTGGGAACTCACTGGCTTCGGGTTTCATCGGAACTTTGAAGTTAAGTGAGTTTGTGCGAGAGCAATCCCATGATAGGTAACCCATTGGGAAGTTCTCGTGTGAGTTCCGAAAAACAAAACCATAAGGGCGTGGTCGGGGCCCAAAGCGAACAATATCGTGTTACAGCAGACTTGAGCCGGGGATGTGGTAGGGGCCCAGGCCGGGATATGACAATTTGGTATCAGAGCCAATCTCTGGCTGGGAGTGTGCCGACAAGGATGTCATGCCCCTAAGGGTGGTGGATTGTAAGATCCCACTTCGCCCAGGGGAGTGGATCCTATAAGCCTTATATATATATTCTTATCTCTACCTAGCATGAGGCCTTTTGGAAACTCACTGCTTCGGGTTTCATCAAAACTCTGAAGTTAAACGAGTTCGTGCGAAAGCAATCCCATGATGGGTGACCTACTAGGAAGTTCTCGTGTGAGTTCCTAGAAACAAAACCGTGAGAGCGTGGTCGAGGCCCAAAGCGGATAATATCGTGTTACGGTGGAGTCAAGCTTCGGATGTGATGGGGGCTCGGGCCGGGATGTGATAATTTGGTATCAGAGTCAATCCTTGGCTAGGAGTGTGCCGACTAGGATGTCGTGCCCATAAGGGGGGTAGATTGTAAAATCCCATATCGCCTAGGGGAGTGGATCCCATAAGCCTTATATGTATATTCTCATCTCTACCTAGCACGAGGCCTTTTGAGAACTCACTGGCTTCGGGTTCCATCGGAACTTCGAAGTTAAGCGAGTTCACACGAGAGCAATCACATGATGGGTGACCTGCTGGGAAGTTCTTACGTGAGTTCCCAAAAACAAAACCGTGAGGGTGTGGTCGGGGCCCAAAACGAACAATATCGTGTTACGGCGAAGTCAAGCCTAGGATGTGATGGGAGCCCAGGCCAGGATGTGACAGATTCAACATGATTCTGAATTCACCTCAATTCAATTTCTCGATTCTCTCGTTCTCATTACAGATTGGTACATGAGACATAATATTATCTTCACTTAAACACTTGTGTAATTAATAAGTGTGAACATTTTCTATAAAAAAACTTGAATATAATTTAAAATAAAAGTAATACAAGTTGTGATTTTTCTTGTTTTTTTATAACATTCCTCGTACATGAACTCCACTGCATTGAATTATATGCAACGAAAATGAAGTCTGTTGATGTACAAAATCGGAGGTCTTGGAACAACGTAAATCCGACCGTGAATCTGCAAGAAAGTAAAGAACACAAGATGTATTGTGGTTCACCCCAATGTTTGGGCTACGTCCACACTGATATTGTATTTCTCTATTTGTGAGAGGATTGTGAGGGAGAGAGAGCTAGAATATGAGAGTGAGGTTTTTCTCTGAATCTCAGAGCTTGAGGATTGTGAGGGTGAGGAAACCCTTTTATAGACTAAGGGCTCCTCTTTTTTTACATATTTGCCCCTTCATTTATTACATAATTACATTTGAGTCCCCCGAGTATTTATACGAGATCTAAATATGGAGACCTAAGTATGGTACAAACAGTAGTCCCCCAAGTCTTCAGTCAAGAGAGTCTTTTGGCTGGAGACTTGCAATTCAGTCCATGAGTGGGCTGCAGTAACTAGATGTTGTCTAGAACTAAATACTTGATATGAGGTGGTGCTCAATTAGAAGTAGCACATGTTGCGAGGCTGCTCGGCTTGTGGCTTATGTTGCCTTGGTTGGCTCGGTTTGTGGCGTTAAAGGTGAGAGAGTCCCTTTTATAGAATAAGGGCTCGCTCCTCAGTACATAAATAATGGGTGCTCTCTAATGATGGTAAAGGAGTCCCTTTTATAAAATAAGGGCTCGTTCCTCAATACATAAGTGATGGGCTAGAGTTATTGCTTGCGGCGAGGCGATTGCTCAGTAGGCGGCGATGCTCTCTAATGATGGTGAGGGAGTGATGCTCGCGGCGAGGCGGTTGCTCAGCAGAAGGCGATGCTCTCTAATGATGGTGAGGGAGTCCCTTTTATAGAATAAGGGTTCACTCATCAGTACATAAATAATGGGCTAGAGTCTCCCAAGTATTTTTCATGAGGTCCAGTTATGGAAGCCCAATATATGGTACATAGTGTAGTCCCCCAAGTCTTCAGTTAATAGAGGTTGTTGGCTGGAGACTTGAAATTCAATCCATGTATGGGACAAAGTGGCGTTGTTAGGAGGCGGTATTTGTATACCCTGCACTGAAGCTTTGTAGGTGAAGCTTTGCAAGTGAAGCTTTAAAGCTGGAGTTTTTATAAATGAAGCTTTTTGAAGCTGAAGCTCTTGAAGCTGGAGGTTTGTAAATGAAGCTTTCGAAGCTGATTGACATGAGTGATGCTCATGAATGTTTATGCTGATTGACATGAGTGATGCTCATGGGTGTTGACATGAGTGATGCTTATGAATGTTGACATGAATGATGGTCATGAATGTTTATGTATGATTGACATGAGTGATGCTCATGTATAATTTTGTAGTACTAAACGTACTTTTGATCACCTAGTGGGTGATAATAGTGGCAGGCTGCCGAATAGTTTTAGAGTATTAGGCGTACTTTTGATCACCTGGTTGGTGATAATAATGGCAGGATGCCGAATGAATTTGGAGTATTGGACATACTTTTGATCACCTGGTTGGTGATAATAACGGCCGGCTACCGAATAATTTTTTTGTAGTACTGGACATACTTTTGATCACCTTGTTGGTGATAATAGCGGCCTGCCGAATAATTTTTTGTAGTACTGGACGTACTTTTGATTACCTGGTTGGTGATAATAGAGGGCCTGACTCTTTTGGGCATATGGGGCTTTGCCCTCCACATAACATTTCAGCCCATTATTTTAGGCTTGCTGGTTTTTTTTATATATATTTTTTTTGTTTTTTTTATGATTACCCTCTGATGGGGTTATACATAGTATCCGAAAGATAAGAAAAATAAATTACATCATTAAAAAATAAATAAAGCAGTCGTTGGGGAACTACTCTCCCCTTCATGATGAAAGTTTCATCTTTTTCAACATGTTGATGGGCATCTTCTTGTCCAACAGAAAATTGAGACGGGGAACCTTGGTGAGTATCTTCTTATCTTTAATCATGTTATCCCGTGGGATAGTGGAATAGTGGAGCATATTAAAAATGCTTCTTTGTAAAAAGCATCTTTGGCTTTTTCTTTGACTCATCACGACTGCTTTTGTTTCCCACTCCATTTTCTACAACTTTCAAAACGTCAAGGTTGGCAGAGCCTATCTGCAGACTTGCTTTTTCTTTTTTCTTTTCACTTTTGTGGGAATGGTTGAGCTATCTGATGGTTTACAATGTTCTCTGAGACTGATTGAGTAGTAGGTATAATAAAGAAAAAAGAAAAAAGGTCTCATCTTTTTTTCCAGATATTTGAGAACGAATAATGCTCTCTGGTATCATCACCGTGTGCTCTCCAACCAGATATGCGCCCATGGATGCTTTTGGGATGCTTCTTATGTGTAAAAAGCTTTCTGGCCACGTTGCCCTGGTTGAAATAAAAAAGGTGCGATAAGCCTCCCATGCAGCCACTGGATATACCAGAAGGATGTTATTCCCTTTTCCACTTCTCTATATCTCACCCCATTCGTACCCGAATCAAACGCCTTTTATCCACTGAAAGAACATGGTGACACCACAACAAACCGGATATAACCTGGGATTCAGACGAGAGATGAGTGCATCTGGATAGGAAGAGAGAGTGTCTGGAGACCGCAATCTGGAGAGGAATGAGAGAACTAGAGAAGCTCTCTGCGGCAGTCACGAAGTCAAATCCCCAATCGGGTTTTGCCTTCGAAGACGATTCCGGATCCGGGTCAGAAACCGAGTCCGGTAACCACTCGCTGTCAGCTTCCTACTTCACCGTCAAGCTGATCGTCTCCAAGCCCGTGAACAACGCTGTTATGCCCAGCAAGAAGACTGATTCGACGAAGCCTGAAGCCGCGCCCAGTTCCAGGTCAAAGCGACCAGCAGAGACTGAGCCCAGCCCGAACAATTCCAAGAAAGGTGTGGCGGCGAGTTCGAATGTGGCCCCATTCCTTGAGTTCATCAAGAATGATTTGCAGGTCGATTTGAGCACTGACCAATTAGTTGAGAAGTTGACTTGATAAGATCAGGAGATTGAAGAAGAAGTACTAGGCTGGAGAGGATGGCGAAGACCTGGTGTTTTCGAAGCCCCATGGGCTTAAATACTTTGAGTTGTGCATAAAGATTTGGGTGAGGCTTAAAAAAGTGAGCTTTGTAGACTGAAGAGAGAGAGAAAAAGAGTTTGTGGTGTTTTGTTTACCCATTTCTGGGTTTCTAGAGAGAGAAAGATGGGACTGGGATTTTGGTTTAGTGTTTCTGCAGATTCACTGTGATAGTGTGAGATTTGATGAAAAAATGAAAGAGA